CCACTGTGGTGCAGAGAGATGCAGTTAGTCTTATTGGTGTCAGCAAATTGCTTGTTGAGTGTGAGGGTGGGTGTTTTGTAATAGACTGGCATCCCATCCAGCATGTCCCCCAGCTCCGTGTCCTGTGATGGTCTGGCATCCCGTCCAGGGTGTCCCCCGGTCCCATGCCCCGTGATGCCGCAGATGGGTCCCAGCCCCCCCCCCCCCTCCCCCCCGCAAACCTGGCCAGGATAAGCAGTTGGAGGATGGATGGAGGACGGAAACCTGCCTCAGTTTTGAAAAGGCTGCTCCTTATCAGGCTTGCACAAACCCCAGCATTCAGGAGATATCTGTATCTGAGGAGGCATCGCCCTCATGAAGCTCATGAAACATTAAGCAATGACAAGGATCAATACTGAGAACCCAACCCGGGCCGCTTGCTCACCGCACCACCTCACGTGAGAGCGGAAGACCTCAAAGTTCCCTTTAAAAATGTCCATTGTCCTTATTTCGTTTAGAGCTTTCAAGACATTCGCGATGGTGGGCGAACAAAATAATGACACCAGACTGATGCTACAGAAGTGAGCTCTGAGTGTCAGGATGCGATCCCAATCTAGTCTAGGTCTAGTCGACCCCGGGACACACGATGCCAAAGCAGGCTGCACATCCGGCCCGCTATGAGCTTTTGGATGATGCAGTGGCGATTCTAGAACATTTCAGCTGGGGGGGGGGGCATAGATTGAGGCCAGTTGTTCTGTTAGGGGGGGCAGATGCATTTGACCTGAATGTCCTCCAAGTATTACTTACACAAGATTGCCAGCATTAAGAAGCAAAAGACGATTCTGAAAACCGTTGATATTTATGCGATGCTTTGCAGTCACGTTTTACAATTTTTACAAATATATAACTCGCTCTGATTTCTTTAGAGTGTCTTGCTTCCACTAACTTGATTATCTTTTTCTGTCGTTAACTTTTCACCAATTGAAGCAACGTGACCACCTGGTGCACACTTACGTTTGTGTTCCGCCTGTTCCAAGGACACAATTTTAGCCCACATATATAAATGCAAATAATAATAATGGTAATAATTATAATGCTACATTTATTTCAGACCCAAGTAGCATACGTATTTGGGGGGGGTATCATCCCAGTGGCAGTTCTAGGGACAGGCCGGGTGGGGGGGTTGCTGAAAGTGGAAGGCAGGACTTTT